GGCCCAGGGGCCAGATATGGGCCGCCACGTAATTTATTTGGGCCAGCGAACACAAATCAACTTCCATGATGCATGCTAAAATCTCTACCAAAATTCTCATATGTAATAAATAAGAGACATATTTTAAGCATTTTCTTATAACCAAACCCCTCATGACAGTAACTTAAACAATAGCTGAATAAACTGTTACTATTGACTTTTTTTATTTGGTTTCAGTCATAACGGCCCTCTAAGGGAAACGGTAACTAAAATGATTTTGACACCCCTGGTATACAGTAACTAGTAAGACAATTTTCAATTACTTATGTCATATATATATTTCCCCCCCCCGTAAAAAGCCACACGCGCAACCCCACAAAAAAAAGAATAAAAAAATCCAGTTTGGTCGGCAGCGCGCTGCAACGGCATCTTGCTGACTGATGGTGCGGGATCATCACTCAGCGATGGACTGCCCCTGCTGAAAGACAGACAATCTGTTCTGTGGAGGGAGTGCGAGTATTGTCTTACCCAGGCTGTAAAGGCTGAGCGCACCATAGTCGAAGAAGTAGCAGATGTGGCGCGACTCTGACGACATGGCGCTGAAAGTGTGTGCGCAACAGGAGGTGAACGGGTACACGCACACCAGCAGCATGTACGCCAGCAGAGGCCACGTGTAGCTGTCGCTCGTCAAGTTCATGCTGGAGCACAGCGAGGCCAGCCTCCACACGAAGTACCTGATGCACACCTGTACGGTTAACCTCCACTCCAGTTTTATGCCTAAAGTGTAGTACCACATTGTGCCATAACATGGGGGCAGCCTTGAGCTCTACTGAAACACATGCAGTGTAATGAATAGCAAAAAGAGTCAACGAACATCGACAAGAATGCAACATTTGCTACTTTTGTGAACACTTCTTAGGAGATGTCCCCATCAAATGACGACATCGAGGAGCCATCGTCACATTACCCCAAAAAACATTTCTTCTGGTGTGAGGTGCTAGCATGTCAATAGAGGGGGGGAGCATCCAGGAAGTTGCAATTGGAGAAATGAGATGAGCCCCGAGTTTCACACATCGCTGGTAGTTAGTTGTACAGATGACCGGAAAAGTATGATGCACGCACCACGTTGGCAGGAAGTGCGTCCAGATGTTGACGGTTTCGTTGTTGATGTGGAAGCTGCTGAGCACGCAGTCCAGTGCCGAGCTCTGCGGGTGTCGGTAGCCGGACAAGATGCTGTCCTCACGGAACACCTGAGGAACAAAGGCCGATGTCATCGTTACAGATGTCCCGGCCGACTTCGTACCATCCCTGGATTTCGCCTAAATTGGCTTCTTCCAAACAAAATGGTTGCCTTCCTGTTCAAATTCTGAGCAAGAAATTTGAACAGAATTTACATTTCCACCCAATTTGATGGTGGAAGCTATAGCCCAAAACCCTTGGCCCTATGGCCCCTCACACCTGTTTAGAACTCCCGTTTCTAAATTTGTGTCTAATTTGGATGAATACCGTAGGAATTAGTCAAAGTACAAGTTATTGAATTTGCATGTTCTTCAGCGTTTTGAGAGTTTTAAAAATTTTTCATGACTCGCGGGACATATTTCTTGGGTGAAACCCTCCTTCCCGCCCATACCCTAAAATCCTCCCGCTCACCTTAGGCACCTGGTGGACGTCAAAGAGCGGCGGCAGTTTGACACCAAACACGGCGGCGGGCGAGTCAACGGCGCCGACACCCCGCAGGCACACCTCCCCGAGGCGAGCGCGGCCCCTGCGGCAGATGAGCAGCCAAACGGGGTAGTCGGGGGCGGGCGTCGGGGCTGCGTCTGACCGGGCCGGGGGCTCCCAGCGTAACAGGCAGCGCCCCCAACCTTGGCTCCAGGCGCCTCCCAGGCCAGCGCCCAGCCCACGCCACACGGGGAACACTGCAATGTGGGGGAGAAGTCACCGTTAGCCACCGGCTCCGAAAATTAAGGCCTCCATCAAACAAACAGGAGGAGTACATATCATTGATTGCCATCTTAAGGTCCATGGACCAGTAGACTCACATGTAAGACAAGCTAGCACACAAGTTTAGCCATGATAAGTAAATAGGTAGCAATAGCTAGACAGAGAGCTAGCTTGAGCGATAACTTGACAGACCAACAGCTAGCTAGCTAGTTAGCTAGATAGATAGATAGATAGAAACAGAACCTGTCCAAAAAATGGAAATTGTCAAGCTGCTATCAAGTAAATGGCCCAATCTTCACAAAAGATCAAAATGGCTTTTGATTTCACCAAATAGGACCTCCAAATGCTGCAAATTCGACAAACAACTTTCTTCAGTTCTTTCCAAACTAGTAATGTTTTGAAGCATCATCGTGCGTAACTATTTGGAGCAGTGCATTTTACATTTTTGGGAACTTGGGGGCTTTTCTCTGGGACATTTGTGCAAAAATATTCAAATCCTTCAAACAGTCATTTGCAATGACTATCCAGGAAAATGTAAGAAAATTATAATTTGCATCACACTTTTTTTTTTTAGAGTGAAGGTGGTTTGTCAGTGCTGAAGACTTACATTTCTGAATAGTGTCACTTATGTAACATGGCTTCATGCCGATGTATATTGTAGATGCAAGGTCTTGATGCTTTCCAATGTTTTTTTTTATTTTTTAAGGGGAACTTTGCCGCTAACTTGAGGCATCTACATGCAATTACAAATTGTCTTATCAATTAGTTGCGGCTTTGCGACAGGTGTCACTACCCATCGCTGTAAACTACTGTATACCCAATCCTGTTTTTGAAGTAATGCTGCCCAATGATCAGTCATCAAAATTAGAGCGTGCACCTAAATCAAACTTGTTTGAAGAGACAAGAGTCAAGTCTCCCAGAGCCTCCCGGTATCTCCCACACCCTCCACCGCCGCCCCCCATCCCGGACCAGGTTCCGGTTCTGGCCCCTTTGTCGGCGACAAAGTCGTCTTTGTGCACACGCACAAGCTACCGCATTGATAAGCACACAAACAAAATGTCCGCCCGCCGCTGGCCGATGAGGAATTTGAATGATGGAAAGACTTCATTTAAATCAGGCAGTTTGAAATGTTTTGATGCAAAGCAATCTGCGTTTTTTTTTTTTTTAGTTTGTTTTTTTCATAATGCCAATGTTTTCGTGAAAGGTCAACGGAGAAAACTGTAGGGAGTGTTTTTGTGGGGGAACGTCATATTAAGAAAAGAAATTAGAATTGTCGTCGGAAAATGTCATTTTGGAGATTTTTAATTAATTTTTTTTAGTTTGTGTAATTGCCAAAAAAAAGGGTTTCTGAAATTTTCATATATTCATCTTTTACTTTATGAAAATTTCATTTATTCATTTTTATTTTATTTTCGAAAAAAATTATATATTTTTGAGAATACGTCAATTATTTATCCAAAGAATGTGGTGCATAATACATTTTTAAGAAAAGTCATTTCATTTTGAGAAAAAAGCAATTTCTTTTAGAGGGGAAAAAAATGTTGACAAAAAAAAATTATATTTGCAAGAAAATGTTTGTAAAATGGAGCAAGTGGTTTGAAGAAGTCCTTTTTAAAGCTCTACATTGTTAAGAAAAACACAAAAGATTTAAACATTCCAAAAAATAATAAATGTGACTCACTTAATAAAAAAAATCCCTGTTGTTTTTTTTTCCTCTTTAAAAAGAGGGTTTCTAGTTCTTTTCCTACAAGATCAACTTTATGTCTTCATACTTTCTACCTTCTGAGCATTTTTTTTCCCCTCCAATCGCCAAAGGAGATTTCTTGGGTGGCAACAGGGAAGATTCCCCTGGGTATGTGTTCAATATTGTGCCAAAGAAAAGCATTAAAAGAGGCAGGTGGGCGTTGGCTTGCTCGTGAATTTAGTTCCCCTTTCGGGCCGCGCTCTGGCAAGTTTGCACAAAAGCTGTTCCACCTCCCTGTCCTCCTCCTCCTCCTTGTCTGCACCTGCACGGACTCATGTTTACATTTCTCACATGAAAGTTGCACATGTTACGCAAACCCAACAATCCGCCTTGTGCTCTTTTCGGAGACGAGTGACACAAAGGTCAGATGACTCTCCAGCTTCAACCGTCCTGAACTCAACTTGGAATCAACGCAACGAAGTCAACTCTCCTTATGTCCACTTCGACTTGGGGAAAAAAAACAATCGCCCAAATTTTGGGGATTTGATGGACATTACGTGTTTTCCTCATGGAGCGACTTGAAGCTTTTTGTGAATAGTGAGCACCCATGGAGATGAAAACGCTTCACGTCTCCAAAATCCCAAATACCGGGGCGGTTGATGGCTCTGATATTTTCAAAGGTGGAAGCTGGCATAAGGAGAGACTGTCCACCTCAGGTGTCTATGCTTTGACGAAATAAAACATTGATGAATCACACTAGAGCAGCTGTTTGAAATGTGAGTAACTGGAGCACTAAAAGGACATCGGTACAAGCACGGTCGGCGAGTGTTAAAACGAATCATGATCAACAGTGACGCTTAAAAGTGAGGTAATGAGTACCACTAGCGGACTGCAAAAGAATCACTCAATTAAAGAAAGTAAAAATTTGCCAACATTAAATAAAAGCAAACACATTGGAATGACAAATTTTCTAAACTTTTTTCAAATCTAGTACAGCAGATTTTTTTCAAAGTGACAGTGTGGGTGTATTTAAATTGAATGTAGCCAATTTTCAAAATCAAGGTGTCAAAGTCAAGCGGCTTGGGTCAGACCTGGCCCGCCACATCATTTTATGTGGCCCACAAAAGCAAACCAAACATGTCAATTTCCTTGGCGCTTGCTAAAAAGCCTGATCCAAATGTTCAAATTGTCATAACGGCTGTCCAAAGGGAAGCCAAAACTCCAATTTGACCAGTGACAAAAACCTGTTTGACACCCCTGGTCTAAAAGCTCCCCTGTGTATTTTTAATATTGTCCTTTGTGAGGAGCACACAAAATATCTCTGGAGGTGAAACTTGTGTGCTCCAAGAATGACGCCAACGCCTTGGCAATTGCAACAATGCGAACTAACTCAATTCAGTTTGGCACGTGAGTCATAGACGAGCTCCTTCCCACAGCTGACTCTCCTCGGCCGTCTCTTTGTTTTTACGATTTTCCGCGAAGGAACAAAAAAAAAAACAACAACAACAAAAAAAAAAAAACCCACAAAACTCAGGGAAGCGAGGAATGGCGGTGAGGGCTGGCGTCCGGACCCGCACAAGAGTGAGAGGAGCCAATCTTCCTCCATCATTTGTGTCACGACCACTTCCGCGTTCACTTACCGCGACTGTCGGCCATCAAGCGTGTGACATGCTGCCCAAGCAAACAGTAACTTGGAAGCGCCTTTCCAAAGCGCCTCGTTTTCTCCTCGGGTCTCTCGTTAAAATGTTGCGTCACGTGCGTTTCGCGAATTTTTTTTGTCTCCATTCCACAGACTAGCCTCGGTTCCACCCTCTCCCTCCACGCCGGCCAATGGCAAGCGAACTTGGCGCACTTTTGAGAGACGTGGGCGGGGCGCAGAGAGGCGGCGGCCACAACAACACCAGCCACGTGCGTGCGCGCGCGCGCCTGCAGACTCCAGCGTGAGAAATGAACGCGCGTGTACGACTTCCTGGAATTCCACGTTTGTGGGTGGTGACGTCACGGCCTGGGAGCGCGGAAGACACTCAAAAAGCGCGAGCAAAAAAAAAAAAAACAACAGTCAACGATTGCAGCTGTTTTACACGGAAGCGGATTGTTGCCACAAACACGTCGTTTGAACATGAAACTGATCATAACGTGTTTCAGGAAAACAGGAATTAATTGCTTTTAGTTCAGGTCACTGGCGGAGTCTTTTTTTTTTATGAATTAAAGTTATTAATTACGAAACTCTTCTGTTCAAAAGGAGATGGGGAACTCCTGTCACGTGAATTGCCTGCAGTCTGACTTCAGCTGCAACTTTTTCCGACTCGCTTGCCTGAACCTGAAGACTCCACTTGACTTGGATTGGAAGTGCGTGACTTGCCAAGTGTTGCCTGCGTGCCTGTTTACAATCGAAAAGCCCCATTTTCAACACAATGGGTCAATTGTTCTAGCTTTGAAAGTTTGAGACAACAATTATGAGCTCTAACTTCATCCCGTCACTACCACCGTCCCCCCAACAACAGCTAAAATAGATTAACGTGACAGCTTCGCCAACCAGTAGCTTGTGAACGAAGTTTCGTGTGGCCAAAGGCACAGATCACACAATGCCTGCTTTGGAACAATTCAACAAACCCAAAACGGGATTGCCAAGTTTTGGCGTAACGGATGGTACGCCGAATGCTCAAAGAGGAAAGTAGTCCGTGAACGTTCTCCTCTTCCAAACTGTCGAGGACAGCCCCGAGCAAAACGCCGTCACATAAATAACGAAGGTGCGTCAAAATCAGGCACCAAAGCCTGAGTAACAGCCCAGTTCAGGCTGGCTTTTAAGTGGCCACGAGATGGCGCCAATTCAACACGGTCACTAAAACGGACACACAAAAAACTCACGCATGAGCTCTAAAGAGGCCAGCAAGGACCTCTGCGCGGATGACATCTCTCAGATTCTTGTGGCTCCTCTCATGGTAAAAGTCCCTTCAAGTCATCGCACCTCCTTCATGGGATCAAAGTGCGTTCCCGCCACTCGCCCCGCGCAAAGGGAGCACAAAGCGGTGCCAGTCACCGTCCCAGTTGATTCACAAGCACGCGCACACGCTGCTGTCATTGTGATTGGCTGCCATTCGCGGCGCGCCCGCGCGAGTTTGAGAGGTCCACATCAGAGGAAAAAAGACGAACTCCAGAGACTTTTCTTCTTTTCCCGAAAGGAAAGGACGGTGTATCTTGAAAAACGTCAGCACAATGTTACGCACGTAACGACGACACGCATTTCAAGTCACAACAATTTCAAAAACACCACTTTGCAAAGGCTGAACTCCAAACGAGTGCTCATTCACTAAAAAAACACACGCTGTGTTCGAGTAGATGTTATCCTGGGGCAAAATGTCACAATTTTGTGAAATAGCAAGCAAAAAAAAAAAAAACCCTGTCAGGTTCAACTTTGTCGACACAATGACAAATTGCACGTCATAGTATGTGACGTCACATGCCCTTGTGGTCACACAGAAAACAACGCACGGAAATTGTCACTTGTGAAAGTTTTAAGAGAAGGAAAAAAAAAGGTCCAGTATAAAGATTTAAATTATCTTTGTTTTTATTGGCGAATGTATTTGTCTATTGGTGTATGATAGGACACACGAAAATGGACAGTCTGTCATCATGTAGACATTTCCAACTTCTCTCAGAGCTTACAGCAACCCATATTAGCTTTTTTTTTTCTTTTAATAAGTGACACCTTGATAAATACACTGCTTTCCCTTGTACATTCTCGAATCGGAAAAAAAATTGCATAACACCATTATTGTTTGGGTACAAAAATAAAACCCGAATGAGCTTGATCACAGGGTTGTTGTTTCCTTTTTGTCAAGAGCACAGACCACACACACAACTCCAAAAACAAAATACAAAAAAAAAAGGGACATTGGGCTATTGGGTGTAATTGAGGATAAATCTGAAATGCTCAGCCTTTATAGGTCAAATTTGGCTTTCTTCAATTATACACTTTTTCTATGAAAAGGTTGCTTTTTTTTATGTGATGCGAATGAACTTGGACTATTTTGAGAAGTGTATACCAGTAATTTGTTCAGAACAAAAAAAAAAAAAAAATTGAGAAATGCCCTGCCCCCCCATAAAAGTTTTTACTTTGAGAAAAAAAAAATATTTTCCAATTAATGAACACCATGTTGAGAAAAACCAGAAGGCCATTCAAAAGTTGACACAGTCAAATGAAGTTGACCCGGAGAGGTTATCGTGCGTTCATCTTGAAATCTCATCCTGAAAATTTCTGCCCAAAACCAAATAAACTTACGGACATTGTGTGAGAATTAGAAGTCCAACCCTCCAAAAAAAAAAAAAAGACAAGAGGAGAAACTGCACCTCTTTAAAAAATAACAACCCTTCCGAGTGCTGTTTTTCGGGTTTGACTTTCCCTCAGGCCACGGCAGCCTGTTGCTGGCTGCTTTTTGCTTTTTTTTTTTTTTTTGCGCCTGCCTTGCTTGTGTTTTTCTCTCTCTCTGGATACGGACAACGGAAATCACTCATCCTGCCAAAAACAACGAGAGCGAAACCACCGACACCCAAAAGGACTTCAATTTCAAGTCTGTGTGTGTACGCACCGTGTCTCTCTCTCTCTCAACATATACAGCGCGCTCCCAGTTTGAGAGGGAAGCGGAGCGCCAGCCAGAACGCTTAAGTTTGGCATCTCGGCACTTCCTACGTCCGCCGAAGAACCGCGCGGGGCGGAGGCGTTCGCCCGTCTTCGTTTTAGTGGATTTCAACTCCCTTCGTAAGTTTCAACTCTTTCCATCCGTCCGGCTTCATGTTGAGATTTTGTTTTGGAGACGCAGATACACACAGAGCAAAGAGAGTGGCAGAGAGAGAGAGACAGAGGAGGGGAGAGAGAGAGATTAAGAGAGAGAGAGAGGGGGCGGGGGGTAGAGAGAGAGAGAGAGATAGAACGAGTGTTGTGATTGATCCGACATTGGCGGTGTTTTGCGTGGTCCCCCTCAGCCCATCTCCTTCCACTGCCGGTAAAAGTCTGCGATGTTCTTCAGCTCCATGCCCGCTGAGCTCGCCGCCTGGACGGCAGACTGGAAAAAATAAAATAGAATAAACATCAGCAATTACCTACATGCTCTGTGACATGAGAAAAATAAAGTCAAGCATTTGAGAGAAAAAAAGTTGCGTATGTTTTTTAAGTAAATTTTGTGTATGTTTTGGAGAGACAAGGGGGGGGGCAAAAAGTTATTTTAAAAAAACATTTAACTTTCAGGATTTTTTTTTCTTTTATTATTATTTTTAATTAAAAAATCTTTTTGAAGGACAATAAACTTTTTTTGCAGGGAGGCGAGGGGGTGGGGGGGGTCCACTTTTTATAAGTGCTATCTAATTGAAGAAAAAAAAAAGTTTTTTTTTTTTTGGGTTGGTGGGCGCCCAACCTTCATTGCCGCCGAGCGTTCACACAGTTGGTCCACCGGATGTCCGGTGAGAAGGGTGACCATGCCGGCCGTGTCATCGTCGATGCTCTGGGAGACGGTGAGCTGGCGGCAGCTGTCCACCATTTTGTACAGATGCCTACCAGACACAGAGAGAAAGAGAGAAAGGGCGCGCTCACTGAGTTTCACTCATATGTATGGCAGTTAACAATGTTACAATATTCCTCCAAAACCATGTCTGCAAATGTGGCATACAAAAAAAAAAAAAAAAAATTCCCACCAACGCCAGTAACGTGACTTACCAGGCATCGAGGTCCTGACGTTTTAGCTTGTCTCTTTCAAAACTTCGTCCAGACTCCCTCTGGCATCGGATGTACCTGCAACATGAAGGAGCCATTAGAACAACGAAGTCCTGATGCAGAGTTTCAAGTTTTTCACCCAAAATGGCTGCTTCCAACCAAAACGGTTCATTTCGAGCCGCGGGTTTGGGACTTATTCGTGCGTCCTGTTCTATGTGTACCCAAAAGGCGAAAGTAATCCTTAGTAATTTCCCATGAGGTGCTATTGCGCAACTTTTGGATGTTGGCGGTTGGTGTTTTGGAGCCCTAAAAAGCCAAACTTTTTCAAGCCAGTTGCGAAAAGTCAAAGCATTTTTTGGCAAGCCAAACGGAAATATTACCTAGTCCGTCGATGACTGCGATGAGACACAAAAACCACGTAGCCTTCATGTTAGCAAAATATGACCTCGTGCGGTCATTTCCAACCACTTTGTGCAGTGAGGGATTCTGATCCAATTCCACTTCAGCGGTCCCAGAGTGATGATTTACCAACAAACAAGTATTTATCTACATCTAACATATGACGGCCATTTTTTTAAGATGAACTTTTTGTTCAGCGCAGTGGCGTGCGATTTTTCTCCAGTGACGTTTGCGTGCGGGCGCGCCGACCTGTTCTGGGGATGATCACGATGAAGCAGCCGCTGGCGGCGAGACTTCGGATGAGACCCAGGTGCTGGCAGAGGGCGGCGGCATCGGGCACCAGGTAGGGCGACATGGACGACTGCGCCTTGGGCTGCTGAAGGCTGCCCTCCAGTTGAGACACTTCCAACTGCCACAGCCAGACACAGTTAAAAAAACAAAACAAAACAAGGACAGTGACAAAAAAAAAGCGTTGTGGTTAAACCTGGAGTCGAAGCTGAGCCATATCCCGCATCAGGCGATTTCTGCGGGCCTCCTCTTCAGCCTGGAACAACACAAAGCAAAAGTGCTCTTCAACATGACACGTTGGCTAGTTGTCGCTATTTTTTTCATTACTTTGGAAGATTTTAAACCTCTCGTCTTGAGTGGATTTTTCTAGCCTTGAGCTCGTACGTGGCTTTGTCCATTTTTGAATTTCTAAAATTTTTTTTTTTTTTTGCTTCTTTTACAGCATGACTTTCGGAACTTGCATCCTTTCATTTTTTTAGTTTTTTTTTTTTTTAACAGTTCAAATTCTGATTTGCCAATGAGGCTTGTAAAACATTCAGGGAAATGAAATGGTCATTTTCTCTCGCAATACCAGTGAAATTCGTTCCACAACTACACACATATCTTAAAATCATCTTTCCTCCATAAAGATGAACAGAAATATCTCCTAAAAAAACAGGCAATTTTTGTACTGTTTTTGAATAAGGAAAATAGCACACGAGAATATTGCACAAAAAAAAAAAAAAAAAAGAAGAAGAAATAATATAGAATGTAAAAAATTGAACAGTTTGCAGACGGTGATGATAAATTCCTTTGCAGCTCTTTTGCCTACACGTCGGTCTCTCACCATTCGGAACTGGGCCTTGGCCTGCTGCAGCAGGTTGTCGGCTTGCGACTGGCTGACGCTGGTGAAGATGCCGGCCTCCGGGTTGAAGTGCAGCACGTTGCCCTGGAGACTGGTGAGGAAGTGGCCAAAACTGCGGATGCAACACACGCGCACCACGCACTGGAGGAGGAAGAGAGAGCGCAGACTTAGGACAAACGCCCGAGAGATATTTGACGTTGCCTCTGGAAAGGATGTAGAGTACTATTTTTTTCTTCGCCATCACGAGGAAAAAAACAAAAACAAACAAGAATGTGTTCCCATCTCGAATACAAACAGAAGGGTGAGCGTTCCGACACGCCGGTGAGAGTTGTCATCGAGGAGCGTGCATATAACGCATCGTGTGCCTATACCTCCTGTAGCGGGCTGAGGGAGGCGCCCCGGTGGGCAAAGTCCAGGTGGCGGTGGGCAACGGCGAGGGCGGGCAGGTGCCTCAGCGCCACATCCTCGGGCAGCAGTAGCGTCTGGAGCAGCGCGGGTCGCTCGCACTCGCCCAGCAGCTCCGTCACGTCTGGGTTCAAGTCGGCCTCTGCCAAGCACAGCAATGGCATGCCGCGATCACAACGGGGACCGTATTTGCCTCAATTTGGGCCAGGAAAAACCGCAGTCGATGAATAAGGCCCCACTCATCTGCATTTGGGTTTGTTTGTGTTTTTTTTAAAGATGATTATCTTTTTTTTTTTTTTTTTTTTTCAAAGGGCTAATATTGTCCAAGGGCCAGTCCGGTGTCTCTGCTAGCGTCTTCTCGCTGTGCACCGACGGGGCGCTGCGCTGGCTCCCTTCGGAGTCCGAGTCCAAATCTGCGGAAGAAAATTTGTCTTTTAATTTTCCCCACGCGACGAACATTTGGCAAGGTCCGCCATCAAGCGTGGCCGAAGGGCCCGGGGGCCAGCGTGACGCCGTGCCAAGACGACTTAGTGACGCTGGCCCGATCAGGTAGTCCGAGTCCAAATCTGCGGAAGAAAATTTGTCTTGAAATTTTCCCCACGCGACGAACATGTGGCAAGGTCCGCCATCAAGCGTGGCCAAAGAGCCCGGGGCCAGCGTGACACCGCGCCAAGTCGACTTAGTGACGCTGGCCCGATCAGGCCAGTGTCATTTTCATAAATCATGACCATGAAATAAACACATCACTTAAAAATCGATCAAGCTATTTTACCACACATTTCTTGTTTATATTCACGTGAATTTTGGCCGCAGAAACTGCACGCCTCACCTATGCCAGTGACGCATAGTGACAAGGGATGCACCTTGAAAAAACTGACTAAATTAAAACTTTTTTTTAAAAAAGGGGGTGGGTATTACCATTTTCATTGACCCCATTGGGGGTATTCTGGTTCACATCGCAGGGTGATTGACTGGCAGAGGAGGGGGTCTCCTGGGAGGGCGCGGCGGCGATGGAGTCGTCTGCGGAAGTGGGCCCGGCGGAGGCCGCTTGAGGCCTGAGCAGCATGTTGCTGAAGGTGGGCGCCAGGCGGAAGCAGCGCTTGGCCTGGAAGAGCTGCGAGGACATGGCCTGGAGGTTGCTGCTGATGCTGGCGTCGTTGGCCCCCAGGGGCCCGTTGGCAACAGAAAGCGTTTGGCCGCCGGCCCCCTTGGCGTCGTCCTCCTCGCCGTCCCGCCGGTCCCGGGCCTTC